TTTACGTAAGTTTACGATTTTCTTACGCACCGTAAAAACTTACGAAAGTTTACGCATATATATTTTTGCTGATGTAATATTCTACAATATAATATTAAAATTTTTCGAAAAGCTAAACTTTTCAATACCTAAGATTATAAGTACTGACTTACCTGGTTATTCATTGAATATCTATGTGTGACCTGCTATAGTAAGATTTTATCTTTATACTAGTTCTCTGCTATTGGGTTTACCAATACTTTACTGGATGGTTCTTATGGCCTGTCAAGACTACTAATTTATTTTCCACCACTCTGCCCGTAGGCCACTTTTAATCCAACTTAAAACCTTTTTTTTAGCGATCTTTAGTGTGTTTTCCTATCTTTTTTCTGTGAATTGAATATCAGACTCACCTCATTGTCTTCTTTTTTTCTTTTTCCCTTTTCTTTTTTTCTTTTTAGGTGGGTCCTTCTTTTTTCTTTACACGTTATATCATTTTCTTTTTCCCAATCTTGCACCAAATTGCATCTTGCAATCTATATTCTTTTGTATATGCTCTGCATTCAATTTCTCTATAACTTTAATATAAAAGATACTGCTTGCTTATTGGAGATGAAGAGTAAACTTAACTCATCAAAATCTTCTTTTGTAATTAGGCCTCTTATCCATCTTTCTTTTCAGCATCTTTCTTCTGCTAGGCTATCTTTCCCCAGTATTGCAAGAATCCATTTTTTCTTTTCAGAGAGATCTTTGAAATCTTCGATTTTTTTTGCCTTGCTCAAAGTCATTTCAACTACATCTTCCTTGATTTCTCTTAGTAGGCCTATTGATACTTCACAACTAACCAAATGTTCTACATTTTCTATATCTTTTTTGCATACAACATATAGCTTGGATCTATATATACTAGGTCTTTTCTGGTTAAGTTTTTCCATTACTGGTAGCATATTGTTTATACATTTTAATTTGAATAGCTGTAACATATTCGATCTAAATATGTAATTCTGCTACTTGATACCACTATTTAGAATTTTGTAAAAGATCGGCCAAGACTGTAAACTTTTCTTTTCTTGATGAGTTTTATTCTAAAAAATATCCACTCTACTCTGTTTATCACTTTTTTTATCATTTTGATGAAGGAGTATAAGGGTTTTTCAACTATCTCATTCTTCCACTTATATCTCAGCTTGAACTCTGTTGTACTAAATGCTATGGGAGTAGGATGAGTAGCATGAAAGCTATGTGCATGCCAAGAGGTGACATGCCAATGGCATACCAAAACCCAAACCGTCTATAGACATGCCATTTATATAATCACATGATGATTAACTAATCAAATTGTAAATTTCGAAAAATTAGAATTAGCATTTCAACCATTTTAACTGTTTTAACCTTCTCTCTATTAGTGAGAAAAAAGATCAGGTTCTTGGATCTAAGCCTCACAAAATATACTACTAGTTCTAGTCGATGATCTGGATTTTATTCAGGTTATATAATTATTAAAAGCCTACCGATTTACATTTTAACTCTTACTAAAATATTTGAATTGCTTACAAAAGTTTATTGATTTATTACTTTTATGTTTTAGATACATTTATTCTTTCTCATACTTCGTAGATTACATATTTCTATAAAGTTGTTACTAAACTTTTTTTTATTTTTTCAAATTTGATTTCTAATGGTTTACTTTTTATACAAGCTTGAGACTACTATAAAAATTTTTATTAATTTTTATCAAGGTAATGTAATATACCAAAATTAAAAAAGCTTACATATATTTTTATAAATCTATTCTAACATATTATATTGAAAGAAAATATCGTCAACTAACCAATCTTCATTAGTACTATTGGTAGATCTTTGAGAATTAACAACTGAATTGTTTTTAATTGTATCCTTTTGATTTCGTTTAAGCATTCCAATATCAAAAAATTGTTTTATTGCTAGTTCATTTTCCATTTCAATGTTCATTGCCTCAATATTAATTTCTAAAAATCCTTCATTAAATTCTTTATCAAAAAGGTTGATATTGGCATCTTCGTTATTTATAGAATCTTCAAATAGGTTCACTTTGGGGGTTTTTTTTGGCATTTTAGGTAGTCTCTGTTGAAGATCATAGCGAAGCATCTCAAGCATTCCCATTAAAGCAGGAGACATCCTGTTTTGTAACTTTGTTTTAACTAATCCCAAACTAGAAAACAAACGTTCAATGGATGCTGAATATGGAACATTCACAAATATCTTCATAGTAAAATGACGAAGAAGTGGAGAACCTCCTATAAACTTGGTTCAAAAAATTCTGGAATTAATATTTTCAGGATATTGATTTTCAAAGGGAATATCGCCATTTTTATAACTGATAAGTTCTTTAAACAAAAGTGTTGTTTTTTTTTTGTCAAAACCCCAAGCTTTTGCCAACTCCAAGGATGCCCTAACAATTAAATTGCCTGACATTTGTCCCGACATTGCTATTTGTTTATAACTAGGTGATAAAAAAAAAGAAACAAAATAAATGGCATCTGAGAATTCATGTGTCCATTTATTAAGAGCTGCCAAGGTATAGTTTTTAAACCCTTTAATCGGAATATTTTCTGTGGAAATAACATAATGAATACTTAATAGTTCTTTAAAAATATCTGCTAAGGTGGCATCTCTTGACTCAAGCTAACCGATTGCATCAATGATGAGGATAAGCACTTTTAGTAAAGTGTCATTGTTTGCAAAGTGGTGGTGGTTGGTAATTATGTTTTGAATTTCCATTCTTATTGTCGGATAATTACTAGTTTTACTAAGATCAATACATTAATAAAAACCTTTTTCAAAGGCTTTAACACCCAAGCAAACTTTTGCAAAAGAGTACCATCTAGTCACACAAAATATCATAAGTAAGTGATGCAGACCTTCTTTTTTTTGCCATTTTTGTAAGCTGCAAAGCCAAATATAAGATGATGTAAAAAAATTAACAAGTTTTTGATTATCTTTAATAACTTTAAGTAAGGGTGGAAAGGCAGAAATGTTTTTTGCGATTAGATTAAAGGCATGAAGACAACAACAAATAGGGATGATATTTGGATAATCTTCTTTAAGGATATTTTTCATTTAAGTCATAACGCTGGGATTATCAATTACACATACAATAATTGCAGAATTAACAGAAATGGAACTTGAGTTAAGTATTTTTTCAAGCTGCTCTTTAAGAAAAGTTGCCATATGTTGGTTGGCAAATAAATCAACAATGTCTAAAACGTGTTCTTTATCCTCCTTTAAAGCTATAAACCTATATATAGAATTTTTTAATATATCTTGCCACCCATCTAAAGCAATAGTAATATCGGCAAGAGATTCCATTACTTCTAATTTTTTGCTTAGGTAAGTTGAAAACAAATTATTGAGGACTTTCACACGCAACATATTAGCTAATGGAGGATTATAATTTGGTGCCAACTTGTTAAGAAATTCAAGAAAATATAGATTTTCAATAACTCTGAATGAAAGATTACTATAGATAATAGCATCAAGCAATATTTTATTTATTTTAATTTGTTTATTTTGTGAAATCAGTTTGATATACCAATTTACTAAATTTTCTTGCCGTTTTACTGCTGTAAATAACGAACCATCAGTGTCGCTATAAAAGCTTCAATTAGTTTTAGTAAAAAAAAAAAAAAAAAAAAAAAAAAAACTATTATATACATAATTAATTCTTGATCAGAAATTAGATTCTTTTTGACTTTTTTATGAGAATTAGGAATAGAACTTGTTACTTCCTTAAGATAAAAATTTTTTTCAGTAACAGGCCAACTGTTACATATAAAAATGTAAGTATGAAGTTTTTTGGGTCTGCCAGATAGTTCAAGACTGCAGTGAATACATTTAGCAACATATTTATTTCCAAATCTTTTTTCTATAGAACTTTAAAACTCTGTTTAGCAGTAATCATGAAGCTTCATGTCAGGAAGAATAAAACTAAGTGGAAGTTGAATGGTTTCACCTATAAGGTCAATTGTGAGTTCACCTTTTTTAGTACTGATATATGACTACATAATACAGATCTGAATTTTTTCATATATAATTAATTTATTCTTTATTATAAGCTAATAGCAAAAAAAAAAGAACTTTAACTTAATCTAAAATCAAGGCTACATCGAATAAAGGTGAACAATTTGGAGGTTTTTTTTTTGAAATTTGTGTAGTTAATTAACACAATTTTTATTTATATTAAAATATTAAACGATATTAAGGTAGAGAATTTTATTAAGTTATTTTAACTCAATAATAATTTATTTTATTAATTCTTTGAGATAGTTTATATATTTTTTAGATATGCCTTCTATTACTTTCCATCTATTCTAACTCCATAATCCGAATATTTGAGGCTCTGATTATAACGGAAGTTCAGTCCAAACAGTTAAATATGTCTTTAACTATTTTATTTTATTTGCATTATTTATGCGTAGTATAAATTAATTTTTTTAACCCATACTACAAAATATCCTAATGCTCAATTTTGAAGCCAGTTTTAGCCAAAATTTGATATTAATTAGATTCAGGCTGATCTATAATCTTGAACCATGGCTTAGGTAGGATGGAATTTAATTTTTATTTAGCCTATACCATGGAATGGCTCAATTGAAACCATGATTAGAAGTTGGTTTAGTCTGGGCCAGATCTGTAGCCTCGAGTATTGTTTAAAGTTAAGGTTTAATTTCTTGAATATAATTAGCTTCAGTTCATAGCTAAAATGCGAATAATAAATACTTGTCAAGGTATGGTTTAAACATGCATTTATGAATTTATTTAATTTATTTATATTTAGTATACAAAATATAAAATATTAAAAATATAATAAATAAATTTGGGTAAAAGGATTCGATACGCAACGATTTTATTTTAAAAATATTTATTATCTCATTGATTTACTGATGCAGACAAATTGATATATGAGGCGTCAAAAGTAGAAACCAGAGAATTTGGCTGATCATGAGTTTTGAGAAAATCGGTAAAAACTGTTTTATTACACAAAATCAAAACAATCAAAAAATAGTTTATTCAATATTAACAAACCTGTTTAAACAGGATTATTAGATCTGTAGATCATTATCATACTAACATCTGTACTAGTAAATCTATTTTTAAATTATAGTATCAAAAGCTTTTAACCACTATATTGCAAAATTTTATTAAGTAATCAAACTTTCATTATTAAGTAAAAAAGATTGGGCTTTAAATTTTACATCTAATCAATTAAACAGGTTAATTTTCAAAAAATTGTTAAATTTCTTGGTTTTTACTTTTGACACTTCATATTATCCCCGTTAAAATGTTTTAAAATAATCTAATCAGATTATGGAGTTAAGCAATTAATAAAATAAAGTGGCAAACTGATAAATTCATTGCATATTATTTAATTATATCTGCATATCCAAAAATATAAAAATCATTTAATATTAATATAAGAATAAATTTTAATTATATACTATATATATAATTGTATAAAGTGTCAATAGTATAGAAGAATCGACCAATTATAATTAAGTATATCTATCATGTGGATTAATGGCATGCCAAGATGACATTCTGGTATAAACTTTGGTAAATGGCATGCCACATAGTACAAAAGATTTTTTAGCTATGCCAAATACTCTATATAGAAGTCAGCTTTTCTGTGGAGTTCACATTGTTATAGAACAAATTAATTATTAGTTTATTATTTTATTATTTATTATTTATTAATTATTATATTAGAATATTATTATTATTATCTTGTATTATTATTAACATGTCGCTTAGTCGCTTAGTCGCTCAGTCGCTCAGTCGCTTAGTCGCTTAGTCGCTCAGTCGCTTAGTCGCTTAACTATATAGTCGCTTAGTCGCTTAGTTGCTTAGTCGCTCAGTCGCTTAGTCGC